TTGAGGAAGAGTCAACATCATGCCTCACCAATCTACTAGAATTCTTTGAGGGGGTCAACAAGCATGTGAACAAGGGGATCTAGTGGATATAGTGTATTTAGGTTTTCAGGAAGACTTTGAGACTGTCCCTCGCCAAAGGCTCTTACGCAAAGTACAGACGGTCCCCGAGTTACGTAAACCTGACGTACGCAAATCCGAGTTTATGGAAAAAGTTCCATAAGCTAGAAATAGGAGTTTTTGTTTGTTTTGTTTTTTTGTGTAATGCTTGGAGCTATGTTTCTGACTAATGCAAAATTTGAGGTATGCGAGGCATTCCGGAACAGAACACTTGCGTAAGTCAGGGAGCATCTGTAAGCTGCCATGGGATAACTGGTTAAAAGCTAGGAAACACTGGGTAGGTATAAATAGTCAGTTTTCAGACTGGAGAGAGGTAAGTAGTGGTGTCCCCCAGGGGTCTGTTCTGGGACCAGTCCTATTCCATATATTCATAAATGATCTGGAAAAAGGGGTAAACTGAGGTGGCAAAATTTGCAGATACAAAATTACTAAAGATAGTTAAGACCCAGGCAGACTGCAAATTGCTACACAAGGATCTCTCAAAACTGGGTGACTGGACACCAAAATGGCAGATTAAATGTAATGTTGATAAATGCAAAGAAATGCACATTGGAAAACATAATCCTAACTATACATATAAAATGTGGAGGTCTAATTTATTTATCATCACTCAAGAAAGAGATCTTGGAATCATTGTGGATAGTTCTCTGAAAATATCCACTCAATGTGCAGCAGCAGTCAAAAAAGTGAACAGAATGCTGGGAATCATTAAGAAAGGGATAGAGACTAGGACAAAAAAATATATTACCTCTATCTAAATCCATAGTTCGCCCACATCTTGAATACTGGCTGCTGATGTGGTCGCCCCATCTCAAATATATTGGAATTGGAAAAGGTTCAGAAAAGGGCAACAAAAATTATTAAGGGGTATAGAACAGCTTCCGTATGAGGAGAGATTAATAAGACTGGGACTGATCAGCTTGGAAATGAGATGGCTAAGGGGAGATATGATTGAGGTCTATAAAATCATGACTGGTGTAAAGAAAGTAGATAAGGAAGTGGTGGAAATTAATAGGCAGCAGGTTTAAAACAAATAAAAGGAAGCATTTCCATTAACCTGTGGAACTCCTTGCCAGATGATGTGAAGGCCAAGACTATAACAGGGTTCAAAAAAGAACTCGATAAGTTCATGGAGGACAGGTCTGTCAATGGCTATTAGCCAGGCTGGGCAGGGATGGTGGCCCTAGCCTCTGTTTGCCAGAAACTGGGAATGGGCGACGGGGGGTGGATCACTTGGTGATTGCCTGTTCTGTTCATTCCCTCTGGGGCACCTGGCACTGGCCCCTGTCGGAAGGCAGGACCCTGGGCTCGATGGACCCTAGGTCTGACCCAGTAGGGCCGTTCTTATGCGCCCAGCCTGCCCTGGGGGCTCGCCTTCCAGAACTGCACTGGGCTCCTGCCGATCCCGAGAATCCAAGCCCCCAGCTCATGGGAAATCGCAGGAGGGAGGGGAGGCCAGCTCCTTTCTGCCCCATGTGTACCCCCAGACTCTTGGGTGAGGTGGTGAGAGGGCAAGGGGCTGGCTAGCTCTGGATCGGGGCCAGCCCCCTCCCCCCACTGCAATAGAAAGGTGGACTCCCAGCTGGCAGGGGGTCCATGCCCGGGGCATCAGCTGAGCAAGTCCCAGTCCCTGCACTGGAGCCAGGGCGTCACTCCTGCTGCAGCTGGGCCCTGAGGTGCCCGGCTTCCTCTGCCAAGTCCCAGGCCTGGGCCCCAGCTCCCCTCGTGCATATGGGGCTGCAGGCGAGAACCCAGTTCCTGGCCATGAGTGCAGGCAGCCCAACCCTTCCAGAGGCTCTGGGGGTCAGCCAGGGGGTGCCTGTCCTGCCCCGGGGGAAGATTGGCTCTGCCCCCACCCCCTTCGCTCTGGGGAATTGGGGTGGGGGAAGCTCCTGGATTTTGCTCTTGGGCTTTCAGCAAGGGGCCTATGCTTCCCTCTGCTGCCCTGAGCAGGAAGCCAGGGGCTGCTGCTGCTAGCAGTGGGGTGGGGCTGTGCCCCCTTGGCCCTGGGGGAGGAGTGGGCTGGGAGGCTCCCCCTGGGCTCAGGCTATGGGCCTTGTTTGCACGTTGGCCTCTCCAGCGGGGCTGGGGGAACCTGTGATGGGAGCACAGGTCCCATTTGTCTCCCTTGGGCCCAGGGCAGGAGCTGCTCTGTCCTGAACCGAACCCAGCCCCCTGCCCCCGCCTCGCCCCCAAGGACACCGCTTACTGCCAGCCTGCTTTTGCCATGTTATTTTTAATTTTAACACAGTCAAGAAAGACGCCCAGGCCCTGCGCTCCGGCTCCCGCGGCTGGATGCCCAGCTGCTGCCCCGGCCCCGCTGCCCCCATCCCAGCCACAGCTGGGGGACAGCGTGCGCCTCCCTGGGGGGGGAGCTGTTAAATCCACAGGCGGGGGCATGGTTCCTGTTCCCCGCGGGCCGGGCTCTGCTCCTGGGCTGGGCGTTCGCAGCTCCGGCCGGCTGCTCGGTGGTGCCTGGCCCGTTAAAGCTTCGGGCGCGGTTCCGTCCCGGCCCGTTACACAGACAGAATCTGCTCATTGGTTCTAGCATTTGCATCTCAACACCTAAGGACAGCGGCTCCATGGGGCTGGGGAGGCTTGAAATTGGGTCACCCCATTGCAAAGCCTCTTTCCCCACCCCCTGCCCAAGGGCCCAGTCCTGCCACTGGGGTGTTCACGCCAGGGGGGACCTGGGGCAGGGGCTGGAAGAGGGATTTCAAGGCCAGGAGGGATCACGGTGCCTGGCCCATGGCAGAGCCCCTCACGCGGGGCTTCGCTGTGCTGACTGTGGCAAGGGCTTTGCGCAGGGCTGGCGGGGAAGGCCTGGAGGTTTGAGCCAGGCCCGTGGCAGGGCACCGGGGCCAGGGGAATCTTTGGCATTTAAGCCCTGGCAGACGGGGGCAAACACGCTCCCTTCCCCCGGGAGCCTGGAGCAGCAGTGGGGGGAAGGGGGGGCACAGAGACAGGGCTCACCCCACCCTACTCAGGCCCAGCCTGAAGGGAGGGGGACCCACATGGGCAGGGTCTGCCCGAGCCAGCCCCCTGCCAGTGAAATGGGTGCCCTGCACCATGGGGTGAGTTATGGCACTAGCAAAATGCACCGCTGGGGGGCAGCTGGTGCTGAGAGTGGAGGAAGGGGCATGGGGCATCTTTGGGCAGTTGCTTTGGTAACGCTGGGCCTGGAGAGTCTGTCACTGGCTTCGGGGGGGGAGATGGGGATGACAAGGCCGGGTCTGTAGGTCAGTGGGATTCAGGTGCCCTTTGCAACCAGCAGCCCTGTTGCGCCAGGGCAGCGTCTTGCCCAGCTCGGGGTGGGGGGCCCAAGGGCCATGGAGCCGCCGTCTAACAAAGCAAAATCTACGTTCATCAGCTACCGCATTGGCCGCCTAGGGCCTTACCCCACCCCCCTCCCCTAATCTACCCAAAGGGGCTTTTGGTTCCAGCCGAGCGGGGCAGCCCAGCGGGGTCGCTCGCCCACACGACATTTGGTAGCAGGGTTCTCGCACACACGCGGGCACGTGGGGGCACCAGTGCCAGAACCTGCCGTTCCTGCCCAGCCTCGCTGCAGGGCACAGGACAGCCGGACACATAGCGCTGGGGATGGGCCCAAAGGGTGTTTCCAAGTGGCCCTGGTCCCTGGCTACTGGGTGGGGGCGGGGGGGGAGAGATGTTTCTCCCCCCCCCTCGTTCCCCCGATTCATACCATGGCCCATGTTTAAGGGGCTGGAAGTGGGACTGGCACCAAGGGGCCTGTGCCATGCCCCCCCCCCCAGCTGGAGCACTCGGGGGGGGGGGAGGGGACAGACATTATTGCTTTGCTAAGGGGCTGGGGCTCCTGCCTCTGCAGCTCCCTGGGGGCAGGGGTGGTGCTGTGCCCCCCAGCTGGGCATGCCCTGGTCACTGGGGACACGCTTTCCCCCCCCAGCCTGCGTATTCCTCCCCCCAGGCACTGCCCCGTGCCTGGCCTTGGGGTGGCCTGTGCCCACAGGCAGCAGGACAGGGGCCTCCTGTGCTGGGAGGACAGACCCAAGGTGCCAGCGGGGGGTGGGGGGGTATAAAAGAGATGTTGGGCCTGGTGCCAGCGCCTGTCGGGGTGGGGGGGGTGGCGCCGGCTCCTTAAAGCTCCATGTCTTTGGCAGAATTTTCGCTTTTGTTTTTTTAAAAAATATTTGGATAGAGACAAAATTGGCAAAGCAGCAAAGGGGGTTTTGAAGGGGGGGGGGCTGGGTGCCTGGCCCCCTGCCTTGGGTGGGGGCCTCTATGGGACAGTTCCCATTTGGTTTGGAGCTATTTGGCATCACGGCGCAGGCGCCACCAGGGGGAGGCTGGTGGGATAATTCCTGCCCCCCCCAGCACATGTGCGGGGGGGGGGGGGTTTGTGACAAACTGATTCTGCTGCTGCAGAGGGAGCTGAACCCCCAGTTTCAGAGGGGGAAGCTCAAGGGGATCTGGACTTTTCCTGCCTCCCCCCCAATCAGAGGCCATGGGCAGGGAAGGGGCCCGGCCCTGTCTTGGCTGGGGGGGGGACTAACCCCCCCCGGTGCACTGGGCTGGGGTAAAGCTGCAGCCCCCTGCCCGTCGCCACGGCTCCTTTCACCCCCCGATTCCTCTCGCTTTGCCCCAAGGGGCTTTTTGGTACCCGGGCCCCCGCGCTGGGGGTCTGGGCTGGCAGGGAGCGGCCCGGGGGAGGGTGTCTGGGGGACGGTGCAGGCAGGACATGGCTGAGGTAGCTTTAGTTTGTGTATCAAAAATAGATCTCCGGGGGGGGGGGGGGGGGGGGGTAGATTCTTGGGAGGTTCTGGTTGGCCCCCCGGCCCCGGGGGGGGGGGGGCTGAGCTATGGCCAGCCCCTCCCCCACCCCGGCTGGGCCCCCAGGCCAGCAGGCAGTGCTACCCGGGGGGCTGCGGGGGAGGGTAGCGCTCGATGGGGACTTCGACATGGGGCACATCTGGGCGCGGCCGAGTCTGTGGTAAGAAGGAGGGGCAGGGTCAGGCTGTGCCCGAGGGCTGTCCAGCCCTCCCCCCCGGGGACCTGTGCCCACCCCCTGTGCTGGGCTCTGCCGGAGCAGCTCCCGGGCCTGGGGCCTAGCCCAGCCCAGCCCTTCTGGTCCTGATGTCACCACTGCCCCACTCCTCCACCCCTCTCCTCCCTGGGGCCTGCCCTGCCCCAGACACGCGGCCCTGCACTGTGGGTCCCCCCATTGGTGCTCTGCCTGTGCCCCCCCCCAGGCTGGGCCCCACGTCCTCACCTGGGGGACCAGGTCGATCATCTCCACTGGCTTGGCCTCCCCCAGCTGGGTGCACAGGCTGCGGGGGGCGTCGCGGGCACCGGGCTGGGCCAGCTCTGCGCCCCGGGGCACCGTCCAGCTGCCCTGAGCGCCCTTCCTGCAGAACAGGCTGCAATGCGGGGTGGGGGTTAGCATGGGGAGCGGCCCGGCTCATGGAGAGAGCCCCAGGGCTGGCAGTGAGGCCTGAGGAGCGCCGGCCCCATGCCCCCAGGAGCTTAGCCCCACAGGCCGAGGCCCTGCTCTGCCCCCCCCACAATGGGTCAGGAGCCGCCGGGCGAGAGCGGCCGCCCAGGGGCCTCACCTCCTGTGGTAGCCGAGCATGAGGAAGAGGAGGCAGAAGATGATGCAGGCCATGCCGATGTGGACGCCCACCACGACGCCGGGCAGCGAGCTCTCCTCCCCCGGCCGACACGGGCACGCGGGGTCAGCGTCTGCAGGGGGGGAAGCACAGAGTGTCCACACAGCCCCTGGGCACGGCCAACCCCCTCCGCAGGCAGCCCACGGGACAGGTCCCCCCTGCACCCCCACAGGGAGCCCACGGGCCAGGTCCCCCCTGCACCCCCCCACGACCACAGGGAGCCCACGGGCCGGTCCCCCCTGCAACCCCCACGACCACCTGTGGCCCACGGGCCGGGTACCCCTGCTCCCCACAGCCAGGCCCCCCAGTTGGCTGCGTGTCACTGGGGGGCAGGGGGTCTCCCCTGGGCACGCAGCAGGCAGTGCAGGGCAGAGGGGAACAGAGCCAGGAGTCCTGGCTCCCAGCTGGGTGCTGTCGGCCCCTCGCAGCCTGTCTTTGGCCCAGCCAGGCCCACCTGCTGCAGCCCCTCCCCCCCCCCGGCCCCTCACCCAGCGTCGGGCCGCTCCCCTCCAGCCGGACGACCCGCACGCTGCTGTTGCTGTCTCCGTTCCCGTTGAAGGCCTGGAGCCGGAGTTCGTAGGCGGCCGAGGGCTCTGCGGGGAAGGAGCCGCAGGGCGTGAGCGGGGGCACTGGGCTGGCGCCCGGCAAGAGCCCAGACCGGCCAGGCAGAGGACATGGGGAGGGGTGAGCCCTGCTCCAGGCAGGGGTGGGGCGGTGCCAGGGCCCCCCCCAACACAGAGAGAAACTAAGGGGACCCTCGCAAAGGGGCCAGGTGGAGGCCATGAGGTGCCCCAGGCTGCATGGCGGGGGACCATGAGGAGCTCAGGCCTGCGGGGGGGAGGGGCCGTTGGGGGTGCAGGGCTGTGGGGGCCATAAGGCTGCATGGAGGGGGTTGTGGGGGGGGGGCCAGGGGCTCAGGGGGGAGGGGCGGGGGGCCGGGGGGCGGGGGGGGGGGGGCCAGGGGGTGGGGGCGCTGGCCGGCCGGGGGGGCACTCACCCAGGTTGCTATAGACGTAGGAGTTGGCCGTGTTGGCCAGGAGCTGTGGCCCCTCGAAGTGGGGGCTGGGCAGTTTGCGGTGGAAGAGTTTGAAGCCCTCGATCCGGCCCGGCTGGGGGGGCAGCGCCCAGAAGACCTGCACCGCGCTGGCGTTGAGCACCTTGGTGAAGAAGCCGGGGGCTGCGGGGACTGAACAGACCAGGGGGCTCAGCGCCCGATAGTGGGACAGCCGCCCCCTACCCGCCCAGCCCTCGAGGAGGCAGGGAGAGGGAGCTCTTCACCCAGCACAGATATGCAGCCACCTCTGGGGTGGAACACGGCAGCTGCTGGATAGCTGCCCAGCATGCTGGGACAGGAGAGGCCAGGCAATTGGGGGGTGTGACTGGGGTGTAGAGCACCTAGGAAAGGGGGCACCCCCAGTGAGCCCCACCCCTGCCCCCTGCTGCCCAGCGCCCCCTCGCTCAGCCCCACCCCCGCCCCCTGCAGCCCAGCGCCCCCTGCTCAGCCCCACCCCCGCCCCCTGCTGCCCAGCACCCCCCAGTGTCCGGCTGGGGCAGCTCGGATGCCCCGGCGGAGGGGGGCTCTTACTGCTGCCCAAGGTGGTGGCCAGGACGGGCTCCGAGTCCTGGCTGGCCCCCAGCGGCGAAGAGGCGCGCAGGCGGATGCAGTAGGTGGTGGCGGGCGCCAGGCCGCTGAAGAGGTGCTGGAAGGTGGTTTTGCTCACAGCCTCCTGCAGGTCCCGGCTGTCGGACTCTGAAACAGGCAGGCCCGAGGGGCTGCTGAGCGGCTGCCGAGGCCTGGGGGCTGGCGGGGGCTGGGGGCTCAGTGGTGGAGGGGGGGCATGGAATGGGAGGTGGCTGGGGGGTGCAGCCTGGGGGCTCGGAGGGAGGGACGCAGGGGGGGGCTTGCTGGGGCTGGGGGAATGTAAGTGGGGGGATCCCGGGGGGAAGCGAGGGCTCGGGGGGGGGGGTCAGGGCCGCTCACCTCCCACCCTGCGGATGTGCACCACGTAGCCGATGAGCCCCTCGGTCACCTCTGGGGGGGGCTCCTGCCAGGACACCTGGATGGAGGTGGGGGAGAGCGCGGCGGCCCGGACGCCCTCGGGGGAGCTGGGCAGCTCCTGGGCCAGGGTGACGGCCAGGCGGGCGCTGGCCTGGTTGGTGCCCGCGCTGTTCTCAGCGATGCACTGGTAGATCGCTTCATCCTCCACCGCGAGCCCCTGGATCAGCAGGGTGCTGCGGGGGCCGGAGAGTGAGGGGCTGGGATCGGCCCTGCCCCCCAGCCAGCCGGTTCCTCGCCCCGGGGCCAGTGCCCCA